TCTCTGAAAAGAGACAAGTTTGTTTATAATTATCTCAACAATTGATGCTCGGGTCAAGGAACGGGCACCTGTGTGTTGGGTCCTGCCTTCCTGGGGCCTCTACGTTGTCCCTGGACCTCGGCAACATCACCCGACTTGCGTGCCACCCTGAGAGGGCTCACCTGTGCCCTCAGATTCAGCCCATCAGCAGGCTCAGTGACAGCGGCCAGTGCACACATAAGCCCTGGAATGGTGATGACCTTGGTGTAGCGGGGAGGTTGGAGCCTGGCGGGGAGGTGGTGGGAGACACGGCCACATGGCGGGACGGGGGCCCAGATCTTGTCCTCCAGGCAACCGTCAAAGCAGGTATTTAAGTCGAGGAGGGGTGAGGTGGGGGTGACATTGACAAGCAGATGGCGGGAGACTGAATGTGAGCTATGGAGATGGGCTTGGAGAAGACAGGAGGGGCTCCTTTTGAGGACAGTTGATGGGAGTTAGTTACCACTTGCGTAATGAACAGGGGACACAGTGGGGGTGTTTTCCAGGCTGGGTGAATTCGAAGCAAGTACGTAGAAGAGTCAGAGGGTGGGAGGCAGGACAGGGGACGCGGCAGGAACAGGTACGAGGCGATGACGACCGGGTGATGGTGGACGAGCGAGCACTGGACCGGGAGGAGTCAGATGGACTTTAGGAAAGCGTCAGGGGCTGGATGGGGGATTCCAGGGGCGTCAGCCTGAAGCAGGCAGGGAAGCCACGGGACTGGCCCCAAGCGTTCTGGGGGGGGGGGCCCACGGAGAAGAGGATGGAGCCCAAGGCATCCCCTGGGGTAGCAGCCACACGTGATGACTGGACGGAGAACAGGAAGGGGGGGCTTTCAGAGGAGAACCCTCCCTGCACCTGGTAAGGCTCCTTGCACCTAGTAGGTGCTTAGTAAGAGCTCACAAACTGAAGGGTCAACGGAAGCTGATCTCTATCACAAGGAAAACACCAGACCAAATGAGAGGAGTTAAAGTTAGGGAGTGAACTTGGAAAAGAACAGCTACGTTTGGCGAAGGTCTGCTCCAGGAGTGCCAGACACGTTGGCCTGACAGGCGTCAACTGGAGACGGGCGAGCACTTTCCATCCAAATGTGTCAGGCAAGTTGTGACAGACTGCAAAATGGTGACAGACACACGCACGTGGCGCAGCCCCAGCTGTCGGGCGGAGGGCAGCCGCCCCGAGCCCGGGGAAGGGAGTCGCTGCCACCCAGACCCTGCGGCGGGAGCAGCACTCAGCACCCCACCCCCCTCCCCCGTGACGGCCATGGTCAGCGCGACCTCCTGCCATCCACAGGCCACTCGCGTGTGAGGGGACCTGCTGTGGGGAGCGGGAGGCGGGGGGGGCAGCCGTGCAGGGGACAGTGGGACACGATGCTGGAGAAGGGACAGTTCTCGCTGCTCAGTGACACCTAAGAGCAGAAGCAGGAGGAAGAGCTCGTGGACTGGAGAGCATCTGGGCCTCGGGACAGAGGCTGGCATTCCCCTGGGTGGGGTGGGGCGGGGTTTTCTCTCTCCTCTCCTGCCCCTGCAGGAGCTGACCGGGTGCACAGCCTTCCCGAGGGAAGAAATGGGCACAGGCAGGGACCCCTGGGTGGCTCATCAGTTAAGCGTCCAACTTTGGCTCAGGTCAGGATCTCACAGTTCGTGAGTTCGAGCCCCACATCGGGCTCTGTGCTGACAGCTCAGAGCCTGGAGCCTGCTTCCGAATCTGTGTCTCCCTCTCTCTCTGCCCCTCCCCCACTCACACTCTGTCTCTGTCGCTCTTTCAAAAATAAAGAAACATTGAAAAAGAAAAAAAAGAAATGGGCACAGGGAGCCCCTGCAGCACCAGATCCCGGGACCGCGGGCCGTTACTCGCAGGACCTGAGCGCTGAAAGCTCACCTTGCAGCAGCGATCAAAACAACGCATTGATGCCTCCCACTCTGCCTCCCCCTTTCCTCCTGGGGGCGGCCTCCTCCGCCGGGTGAGCACAGGCAGGTCCTAGGATGTTTCCTCCTGCTCCGGGGGAACAGATGACCCTTTGGCGCTCAGTCTCTACTCAGTAAGGAGACTGTCCCCTGGGATAGTCACCTACCTGGCATTAACTCCCCTGGATCTCCGTCTCCATCCCTGGGTCCCGGAGGGCGGGTGGGTGAGGGCAGAGAGGTGAGGGGAGCTGTCAGCTGAGTTCACTGTCCCCCTTTATCACACGGTGGACCCTGGGAACGGGACCTCTGAGGGCCACACTGACAGGCTCCCTTGCTCCGGGCCTCTGGCTGTGTTTGGCCGGTGGGACACTCTAGCAAGAGACTGGAGGGAAGGAGGAAAGTAAGGTCAGCCGGTCCCTTGGGCTGCATCCCTGGAAGAAGGTCCCCGTTCCTGGCAGTCATCTACTGTCCTCAGCTCTCTCTCTGGGGCCTGGTGGCCATTCCCTCTCTTCACTCATTCACGTGCAAGGCCTGGAGCTCCCAGGAGCTGCACTGGTGCAGGGAAGATGGTCCTCGCACGGCTTGGCCAGACTTCCTGCTCTGCCAGCCCAGGGGATGGGTGGCGAGGACGTTTCTCCCTCTTGAGGCCTTTTCATGGACACGACAGAGGCTCCCTGTTTGCCCCTCCCCTACGTCCCGGGTCCGGGCCAGTCCTCCGAGCTGCCTTCCTCAGCCCCACACGCAGCTTCATGCCTCCAGCCTCCTCCCTGAGCCCCCCACCCATCGGGGCAGCACCCACGACCACCCACACCTGGTCCTTAGCAAAGGCTCGAGCGTGCCACCCCCGGCCGGCCTGGGGAGAGGGCCCTGTCCCCCGCTTCTCTGGCTCAGCTTTCCTCCGCTCCCAGGGGTGATTCCCCGGCGGGACGAGACTCCGGCCCATCGTGAGTTTCAGATCTCTCAGGCCTGTGTGTCCCCAACTTCAGGAGTCAGTCTTCAGAGCTCCCCGGTGCAAGGCCGTCTCACTAAGCTTGGGCGACAGAGGAGGAACCCCGAGTTGGAAGTGGAGCTCACGGAAAGGCAACGGCTCTCCCCAAAGACACGCGCTTATCTGTGTCCACCCCCAAAGTCCTTCGGAAGCAGGATCCAGGTGAGGACACGGCACGGGCCCTGCCCCAGGGTCCTATAGCTCATGGGCCCCACAGACGTCATCCGCCATGAAGCCCCTCTGCCCTCACACCTCTTCTCATATTTCCCAAGGGGGTGAGCAGTTTTAAGATTCATGAAGTCGGTGTGTGTCTATTTTCTTAGAAAATAGTGACTTGGAATAGTCTCGTTCACTTGGGGAGGAAAAAGGGTTTCGTCTGGGAAACACAGTCCGGAGGGGCTTAGAGGCAATCCCATGCTAACATCCTGCTGAGCCATGTTAGGGCAGCTGCATGGTGGTTAGGGGCCTCGGTCCTAAAAGGCCAAGTTCGGAAGAGTTAGCTTTGTCTGCTCGCGTAATTGACTCACATTTGTCTGCATCACAAGAAAAATAAGCTCAGTGAAACCCAAGACCTGTTTCCTTCTGTTCACCACTATCCTCCAGGCACTGGGTCCACGGTAGGCACATTCCTACTGAATGAAGGATGAGCAAATGCTCAGCTGAGAGGATTTCTCTGAAGATCGAAAAAGAAATGAGTGTAGGAAAGCATTTGGCAAAAAACCCCAAAACACAACACTCTGAAATCCGAAGACACTCTTTGGTGAGTGATGCAAATTTCCCAGCTGTAGGCTTGTCTTTTGAGACCAAGCATCGTTGGGGCCAGTGCTCCATTAGCTCTCTCACCCCTTCTCTGATACTCTGCCTTGTTCAGCCTGCTCCAGTCACGTGGGCTTGCTGGCTGTTCCTGAAACCAAGTGCCACCTCAGGGCCTTTGCACTTGCCGTTCTCCGTTTTTAGGACACTCCTCCACAGGCTCACTGCCTCATGGTTGGATCTCATTGGAGATCCTGGCCACACTGCCCAAATTTTATACCATAAGTCTCCCACCTGGCCTTCTGCAAAGGGGCCTTGCACTTACCCCAGAAGACCGTGCATTGAGAAACAGAGTTTTCCGGAATTATGGGACCCTAACTCTGAACTGATGGTAATTCCTCAAAGACCCCAAACAGCAACATGGTCCACAGTCAGGGGGAGGCTGTTTGTATTTAGGCTGGGGGAGACTGGGAGGAAAAAGTTTTTATTTGTGAACCTAGCCCATTTAGTTCCTTTATATTGTCTCTAAATGCTGCTTGAACATGGATGAATTATTGTGTCCTTTGACTTGCAGCTATAGGCACTAGTGGATACTTGGACATCTCTTTCCCTAAACCTATTAAGGCATTGGGTACGCTTAAAATTTGTTTCCGTGCCACCCCGGGCAACAGCTTTGCTAAACTTTTTTCCCCTAGGTGAGGAGGGTCTCTTTTCCTCCAGCACCTTCCTCTTTCCCATGAACCCTCATGGCAGCCTCCTCAAGGCTGGTGGAGTTGCTATAATCTTCTTGTGACCGACAGAGTGCTCAGCTCTCCCCAAGAGAGAACCTGCGCAAGGTGTCCAGAGCACCCCAAGTCTCCTCCTACAGCCGCCATCTCTGGGCAGGTAGCTCCCAGCCAAGGACTGGGTGTGGCAGAGGGTAGCTGGGCTCCACCATCTTGACCCAATGGGCTTGTCTTCTGTGGACAGTCTCTGAGCTGCGCTGTCTCCCCAGGCTCCATTTAGCCCACTGTACTTCCACCTGCTTCCTTCTCGTTTTCCAGATGTCGATCCTGTACCTACAGCCTGAAGGGCTTTCCCTTCCCACTCCTGCTGCCTCTCCTCCCCATCGTCCCCAGACATCTCCACCAGGAACCATGAGAAGAAAACTGAAACACTGCGAAAATCCCATTAGAGCATTCCGATTTGATCTGAAATTACAGTTTTAACTTCTGAGCTTGACCAATTTGCTGAAGTACCAATTTAATAATCAGTGCTTTTATCTCCGGTTTCATCTCTCTGCATTAGCCGGCAGCTCTGTGATTAAAAATCAGCGTCTTAATGTAATAGTTCTGTGATTTACCGCACGTTTGCACAAGCCAACATTTTATTATAGACAAATGAGTTGCAGCCTTGTAAGGTATACATTTGAACTTTAAACTGGTGTAAGAATATTACTGTGTAAAGTAGAACACTGGCGTAGTAAAGCTGACAGATAACTCTGTGTTTACCCCAAACATGGCGCACCACACACTCTGCACCGAGGGAAATGGGGTCTGGTGGGTCCGTCAACGCAACGTGATGTTTCAGATCAACGGAGGCACTTCAGGGTTATCTTCAAAGTCTGGATCTTCCCCACTTGGTATAATTTTGGGTTCAGATCGAACTCTTTGGGGCGTGGGTGTTTTCTCCTGAACTATGTGAGCCATGTCCGGGAAGGAATGCTTGCCAGGATCTACTTCTAATTTCTCAATTCGCTTGCTTCTATAACAGAAAAAAAAAAAAAAAGGCAAGAGGAATTTGAGAGATGTCATTTTAAATTTAATTTCAAATAGACTCAACTCAATTGAGTGCGTTCATTCAGCAAACATTGGCGAGTGATATCCTTAGAGCATGAAGACAATAGTAAGATGCTGTCCTGGGTTTCAAGTAGCTCAGAACCTTGTAGAAGCAAGAGTCTGACCATGGAGAAGTAAAGGGCTGATCCACAGGAAGCTGGAGGGGAGGTCGGCTGGGAGATTCTGCTCACCTGAGAATCTTTATTTATTTATTATTTATTTTTTTTTTGGTGAGATTTTTAAGTAATCTCTTCACCCAAAGTGGGGCTCAAACTCACAACCTGAGATCAAACGTTGCGTGCTCTACTGACCGAGCCAGCCAGGTGCCCCGCACCTGAGAATCTTTATAGACTACAGCAGGCAAATCCCACCGCCAGGGTCAATGGGAAAACCACTGTAGGCAGGTCTTACTCCTGAATGTGGCTAATGAGCCTCTTAGTGATTCAGACAATCCAGCCTATGTGCTTTTGCGGGTGCGTTTATAGAAGTTCAGGTGCCTAGACATCTCAGCCCACCAGTTTTCCCCACAAGATCCCACCCCCGCTGTGGGCACCCAGTTTTTTCGGCAATAGCTACGTGGAAACAGAGCAAGAAAGATTCCCAAGTTGCCGTCGTTAGAAAATTCTAGATAATACAGGTCACTGGGGTGCCTCCCTGTCAGTTTTGATCTGTAGGCCTAGGGATGGGGCCCAGTACTCCCCCACCTACCCCCCAGTGATTCTGATAATCAGTCAAATTATTTTGGAATCACTGGCCTGGTCACCCAGCTGGTCGTTCAACAGAATACATAAAGTGCCTCCCAGATTCTAGACACCAGAAATCGCACGGTCTGTGCAAATAGGACATTTCCTGGTGACATCTAACAGCACCGCAGAGAGCTCGAATAGAACACTTATCACGTTATCGTGTAATCATCTCATTACTGATCTGTTCTCCCTATTAGACCGGCATTCTTGAAGCAATTATATTGTTTTCTTCATCTTCTATCTTTGGCATATAGCATTTGCGAATACTTGTTAAATAATGAAAAAAAATACTATACTGTGGTGCAATCATGAAATTAAATAAGGCATTATCTCTGACCTAAAGAAAATCACAGTCGGTCTCGTCTGGGAGCCCCACACTAATGTCCTCAAACCACATTTAGGCAGCAGACACAAGGTACTGGGAGGAAGGGGCTCAACTTTCTCTGGAAAGAATGAACCCTCTGTTTTTACGGCCCATCCCTCCTCATTTCTATCAGCTGCTTAACCCTTGAAGAGGTTTCTAATTCTTCTCAGAATTCTGACCAATACACAGGGACCCACCAAAGGAAAGTGTAATGTATACAAAGAGTATAAAGTATACATTTTCTGAAGACCCAGATAGTACACCATAAACTCTGTAAGAAATTATACTTTTTCAAAGACCGACATTACAGTCATTATTAAACATGGCTCTACCTTTTAATTACTGTGCTCTTGTTTAAAAGGCTATCATATCTATGGCTTAATGAAGTAAATATCTAAATTCATCTATTATAATTATGTTGACTTTGAGGAAAACAGCCCATCTCCCTCCCAGGCATAGATCTCCCAGGCCGTAACTTCTGGATCTTCGTAATAAAGAGTGAGCTCAGCCAGATGCAGTTCTCCGCAGCTCCCCCACTTCAGATGTTGTGAGGAATAATGTGCACGCAGGACTTGAATTAGTCATGAGTCCCCGGGTAATAAACAGTGAGCCTATAAGGCTGGGAGCCCCTGATGATCACACGAATCCCAACATAAAGACGAGAGGGCCTTTTCTCCCCTGCCGTTTCCTCCCTTAATGTCAGGCACCTGATGTGACCGACGGCAGGTGCCATTGCCAGTTTTACCCACCACCTGCCTATCAGAGCCAGAACGTCTCCAGTCCAGTCAGAAGGACTGGTGGGCAAGGTGTATATTTTCATCACTGGGGAAGACAGCAAAACAAAAAAAAGTCTAAATTCAGGCATAACGCATCAAAGATTGAGTTCTTCTACTAAAGAACATAAGGAAAGAACTTTCTTCTGGTAATACGGTGGGCTAGGATTCCCACCCCCACTGAAAACTCTACGGAGATCTGGAAAGATGTGATAAGATACTAAGGAACCATGAGGACAGGATTCAGCAAGAGGAGGAACCAGAGAAGAAGTGGGTCCCTTCAGCCACCTTTGGCCTGAGGGCTTTTGCTGAGCCCCTAAAGTGGTGCTCCGGTGTGGCTGGCCTTGTGGAGTCTGGGAACGGAGGTCAAGGTGCTGAGCATGCCCGGGGGCTCTCCCAGAATGAAGAGTGAATGAACAGTTAGCGCACTGTGCCTGCCTCCCCGGGCCCTGGGAGGGACGTAGGACAGAGAAGGGCTGAGCTGTCACCACAGCCCGGGGCTGCAGTGGGTTTACAATGGCCATGGTTAAAAAGCCGCGATCTTGCTATGAACATAGCAGCACTCTCAACAATAGCCAAATCATGGAAAGAGCCCAAGTGTCCATCAAGAGACGAATGGGTCAAGAAGATGTGGTTTATCTATAAGATGGAATACTCCATGGCAATGAGAAAGAATGAAATCTGGCCATGTGTAGCAACGTGGATTGAACTTGAGGGTGTTATGCTGAGCGAAATAAATCAGGCAGAGAAGGACAGCTACCATATGTTTGCACGTATAGGAGGATTAGGAGGAACTTAACGGAGGATTGTGGGGGAGAAGAAGNTACCATATGTTTGCACGTATAGGAGGATTAGGAGGAACTTAACGGAGGATTGTGGGGGAGAAGAAGGGGGAAAATAGTGGGGGAGAGGGAGGGAGGCAAACCATGAGAGACTCTGGAATGCTGAGAACAAACTGAGGACTGATGGGTGTCGGGGGAGGGGAAGGGGGTGACGGGCACGGAGGAGGGCACTTGTGGGGATGAGCACTGGGTGTTATACGGAATCCAGCTTGATAATAAACTATGAAAGAAAAAATAAAACAGATTCCAAATTAAACAACAACAACAACAACAAAACAACCAGCGATCCTGAAATCAGAGTGAAGCGGTTCCAAACTGGCACTGTCCTCGGGTACCAGCTGCCCCAGGGCCCAGGCCAGCACCCCCCAGCGGAGGACTTTTCACCCTCTGAGAAGCCCCCAAACCATCCTCTAAGGCAACGGAGCAGCTCATAGTAAAAATGAACCAGCCCGCAAGGAAAAAGGGCCCTTTGTGTGAGAACCAGCAGAAGCCAAAAGAACTGGAGAGAAATGAGAAACCTCAGGTTTGAATACGAAAGCATGGATATGAAACGAAGAAAATGTTTCAGACTTGATGGGTTAATGTTGAACTTCTCCTCTGGGATCGGCGAGAAGACAGATACAGCTGCCGTCACTTCCCTTCCGTACCTTCCCGGTGCCTTTCCCTCTGCACGAAGGCAGGAAAAAGAAACAAAACGTACAGCATTAGGAAGAAGGAAATTCCTCACTCTCTGTAGGGAGAACGAAAATCCAAAACAACTAACAAATGAATAAAATAATAAGGGAGATCGGCAAGTCGGCTGGGTACAAAATCAAATACAGAAGTGACTTTCATAGTGGTGGTGACACAAATCCTGTGAACATACTCAGTGCCACTGAGTTGTACACTTTCTAATACTCGAGATGGTGAATTTGATGTTCTATGTATTTTTAAAAATTTTTTATAGTTTTTTATTTTTGAGACAGAGAGAGCATGAGTCGGGGAGGGAAGAGAGAGAGGCAGACACAGAATCTGAAACAGGCTCCAGGCTCTGAGCTGTCAGCACAAAGCCCGACATGGGGCTCGAACCCACGAACTGTGAGATCATGACCTGAGCTGAAGTCGGATGCTTAACCGACTGAGCCACCCAGGTGCCCTGATGTTCTATGTACAGAAAAAAAATCTATTGCAAATCTAAATCCTAGCAACAAAAACACAGTTATGATAACATCAAATCACACACCTAAGAACATCAATACAGTATGTGGATATTTAAAACGAATTTAGACATAAACCTTGCAGCCTTCACAAGCAGTAACTCAAAATGGAATACTGACCCCAACACAAAAGGTGAAAGTGCAAAACTCCTAGAAGTGAACACAGGAAAAGAGCCAACTGAACCGTGAGGATGGGTGATGCCATCTTACATACAGTGGCCATGGCACGAGCCACGAGAGAAGTAACTGGCAAGCTGGATTTTGTTAAAATTACAAACTTCTGCTCCGTGAAAGACAATTTTGGGAGAATGACAAGACAAGCCACAAACTGGGAGAAAACATTTGCCAAAAAAAAAAAAAAAAAAAAAAAAAAAAAAAAAAAAAAAAAAAAAAAAAAAAAAAAAAAAAAAAAAAAAAAAAAACCAACAACCAAGAAACCAAAAACCATCTGATGAACAACTGTTATCCAAAACATACCAAAAAACCCTCTTCGAATGCAACCTTGAAAAAACAGTGTGATTCAAAGATGGGCCAATGGTCTTCACAGACACCTCACCGGGAAAGGTGTGCAGATGGCAAATTCACAAATGAAATTTGTGGCACTGGACCATTTGTTGTCAGGGAGATGCAAATAAGACAATGAGATACAATAGCCTGCGTATTCGAACAGCCGAAGTCCAGGACACGGGTCCCACCAAATGGTGGTGAGCACGGGGAGCATCAGGAACCCCCCTCCATCACTGGTGGGGACATAAAGCGGAGCCACCACTTTGGAGGACGGGTGGCAGTTTCTTCCATAACAAAACATACCCTTAACCATGCCGTCCGGCAACTGCCCTCCTTGGTATCTACCCAAGGTTGCTGGGAATGTATGTCCACCCAGAACCCCTCACACAGTGTTTATAGCAGCTTGATTCATAATTGCCATAAACTGGAAGCAGCCGAGATGTCCTTCAGGAAGTGGGAGATAAAGATTGTGGCCTGGCTGGATAATATAACACAGTG